ATAACCTAGCTAATGATGATGCAACGCTACAAGCGAAAGCATAGAAGCTGGGGACAGACCGAGATGCTGTAAACTGTGGCGAATTATAATGTTAATGATTCTTCCTGCACTCAGTTTTGCTTTTTAAGATTTTCAGCCTGTCTTGTTTCCCTTGGGGAAAACTCTTAGAGTTTAAGATATCAGACTAAATGACAAAATAACTTGTTCCGAGTGATATATTCACATCTTCACAGCCTGCCATTAACTAACCAACATAAAATGTTGGAAAGTCAGACGTAAAACTACGCCAGCAATTTTTCACATGTAGGAACCGATCAGTAATCGCCGTCTACAGACCACCCCATTCACAGGAGACACCGAGAGAGACTGCAGCTTCAATAACTCCAATTTTTCATTAATGGCATATTAATAAAACACATATTTCACTCGGGCAAAGATATATTGCCTGGCCATCTTGGATGTGACAAATTATAATAAGACTTTTGAATTATGTAGAGAGCAGTTAGGCCTTGATTAGTGGCAGGCTCGCTGATTCCCCGGAGGCATGAAAGACTGATCTTCAAATAATCGCAAAGGTTCTTCAGCGCTGCCATCTGTTATAAAGTTCATTTGAGGCAGTCGGCGTGGCGGGGAATGACAATCGGAGGGTGTTGGTGCTGCGTGGGGGAAAAAGCTCATCAAGGCAAATAAACTGATAGTATCTTTGCCTTTAAGATCACTGGGACACCTTGGGCAGAAATCGATAATAAATTAAGATAAAACAAATTAAGTCATTTAGGCCTTTTCTTAATCTCATTCGTGAGTCTTGGGGTTAGATCACCCATCTCCAAAATAATAAATCAGCGATGAGAGAATTACATTCAGACACCAAAAGCATCAATTACAGCTGAACGCTTTATTTTCAGACATGGCAGGATCTCTCCACCCCGTTTCCACTTAGCGTGCTCTGTAGAGCGTATCCGAGCACAATTCCTTACCGGGAGGCCCAGGAACGACCAACATCAGACAAGTGATGAGTTGTTTACATTTTCCAGTTGCTGCTCATGGTGCCTGGAGGAAGCATCTGGCTCTGTTGTGGAAGCTTGCCACTGCAATGAAGATTGATACTTTCTAGTACATGAAGCCATCTGACTGTGCTGATTGTAATTACGTGGATCTGGCTGTCCAGAGGATCCGCTTTCTGCTTTTTTCTTCTTAACCTGCAATATTCTCGTTTCCCAATAGAACCTTGACATATAGATTAAAGAATTAATTAGCATCCAGAGTTTGTCACGATCGCTGTCACCTTTAAGCATCTGTCTGCACCGATAATTGGCGGTTTGTATATTCTGGCGAGCTAAAGGAGACACTTTAAATATTTGCAAATGAGGTAAACACGCATCAATGTTAAGGTTATGTTTAAAGGGGACCTATTATGCTAATATCCAGCTCCATGTTTTCATCACAGGAGTCCGCTTTGTAACGCCCCAGGTAACCTGAGGTGAACCTCTCTCTGAAACAAGCCCTCCTGTCTCTTTAAGAACCCCTCTCATTTTTTCCAATTGGCTCCCCCTCGCCTGGCTTCCTCAAACAAAACATATATGTATTGACATAGATATTTGTTTTTATTTGTTAGTTAAATACTACGTAGAAAGATGTCTGATTTAATGTGTGGCTGTCCAAAAATCTTAAGGGCATTTCCCAGTATGCAAATACACAATTTATCAAAACAAATCATATACAGATCCAGTTAATTAAAAATGACAACATTAGATACAATGTTAAAATCTAAAGTTATCAAATGCCCCTGAGCAGTCCTCACCTTTAAATGTACCTCTCTTCTCCTGTCCTGTCTGTCGTTTTACATCTTTGTCCATCTCTGAAATTACTCTGCACTGTTTTCTGTCCCTGAGAAATACAGTTGCTGTACCTTTAGCTAGCAGACACACTGTGCGACTGACTGTTGAGCTAATACAAATGCTGCATTTTATATTACCTGCCCCTCAAAAATGCTCGCTCCTCTTCAGTAGCTCTAGCTAGACGGTCAACTACAACTTATGGCTGAGTATAAACACTATAAAGATACTTTTAAACCTCAAGTAACGGGCTCGTTTTGAAAACGTGAGGAGTAGAAAGTACAGATATTTGTGTTAAAATGTAGGGAGTAAAAGTAACAAGTTGTCCAAAAAATAACTACTCAAGTAACGTACAGATACATGAAAATTCTAGTACAGTAACTAAGTACAACTACTTCATAACTTGCCACTTCTACTTTTTACTTAGTTAAAGGATCAAATAGCAAACAGAGTGACACAATGAAGAAGTGGATGCAAGAGGAAGAAGAGGGTAATTCAAAAACAATACTTGGTGCTTGTTAGGCTTGCCTACTTCCATAAGGAAGTGAGGCAACCTTGTGTAAGGAGGTCCATGCTGAGCTGACATCAGTTTAGCACAAGTCTAAAAGGCTGCCTAAAACCCAGTGAGTGTTAAGAACAGCCTGAAATTACTATTACACGCTCTGACCTAATTTTCTCAACTGTCTATATAACAGATCATTAGCAAAAGCATTATGAACCCTGCTGAAGCCCTACTGTATGTCAGGGCTCTTACAAACATGTTTCCCAACATTCTAGCACAGTTTTAAGATAAATGCAAGTTTAGGCTGAAAACGACAGCCGTCCTTCATGCTTTTCATACTTTTGCATTATTTTAATTGATATCTTATTCAATGAGAAAATGATGTATTTTCCGCCTCATTTTCTTCAGAATGGCTTACCCACGTCTTCCCCTGTACCAAATTTGCATTTTTCAAACTTGATTTTCATGCTTATAAAGTTAAATATTTTTTATGGAAACTGAATCCGAAATAGGAAAAACTTGCCGATCCACATTATGTAACTGTTTTAAAAGAATTACGATTGAAGGCAAATGCAAAGTATTAAAGACGATGGGAAGCCTGGATGGTGTTTAGTATGTTTGTCTTTAGTTAGTAAGTTCAGGAGGTAAACGCTCGATGGACTGTGGGTTAACGTGAACTTTGACCTTTCCATTTAATGGTTGTAGTGCTGATGCTTAAATGTCAAAGGCAGCTTAGCTTGTATTCATTTGTTGCTCAGCCGCTGGGACACAAACCAGACTTCCTGTTTGAAAAGTTTTCATTCTAGGAGATATATCTTTTTCTTTTTTTTTAGCCTCTGATCAAACCATGCCCTTCAAGCTGTAGCTCATATTTGACAGTCCATAACTTCTCAAAGGGGAAAAAATCCCAGCAAAAAAGGTGGAATCTTATTACTTCCTGTCATATCGTTTTTGGTAGCATAATGGGTTCTGCTATTGCCTCCGTGACATTCAGTCATGGGTCAACGTAAGATTAATGCTTCACCTTTCTGCCTTAATTCATTCAAACTCATTGTGCCTTCCATAGGTCTTATTGGCAGAAGCCCTGGTTAAATAACACAATCCGCCCTTTATGGGTTTAGAAATTGCGGCTCCGTGTCTCATTTGTAAAATCACCCTACAATCAGCTTCAGTTTTTACGATGAACTTCTCCGCCCTTTTGTTGTAGATCCGCCATAAATTTCAGCCTTAACCAAAGGTTGTTTTCATAGCACTGGAACGGCTGCGATGAAAAATGCGATGTAAACTTTGTAA